ATTCTCCTGATAAACAAAACTCTTCGCTGATGTTACCTTAAGGATGTTGTCTACCCTAGAGGAAGCAGTGGTGCATTAAGCCTCTTGAGCCTTATAAAAGCTAATTGAATTAGTTTTTAATGTGATGGGAGGAAAAACACATGGGGAGCAATTGTTCGTGTAAGAAATGAAAGTAAATTAATACCAATGCTAAATCAAATCTTGCTTTCTTGTGACCCTACTCACTTTTTTAGAATGTAGCTTCTGTTTGTTCACTTTTTAATATATATCTACAAATCCATATTGTGATTTGATTGCTTATTTGTTCCCTATGACTATCATTAAGTGTTAGAAGTGTTGTACCTTATGATTCTTGACAAACATATCTTTTCTTTTATGTACATCGAGAACATATGCACCAAGACAAATTCCTTGTGTGTCCAATCACACTTGGCCAATAAAGAATTCTATTCTATTCTATTCTATTCTATTCTATTCTATTCTATTCTATTCTATTCTATTCTATTCTATTCTATTCTATTCTATTCTATTCATATAAATAAGACATTTGTTAGGAAAAATGATCATGAAATGGATACAAATATTTATGCAAATATTTATACTTTTTTTTAAATCCCAGATTGACATACAATAAAATAGGAGAAACTGAAAAGATAGAAATGGAGAGAAACTAACAGGGATTAAAATGAATAGGAAACTGCTGTTTTGAAAATTAGAAATTTCTGGGGGAGGAAGTTATGTTGGATATATGTTCACCACCTTGAGTTATTTGTAAAAATAATAAAAACAGAATATAAATACATTTCTCATTTGTCTTTTCATTTCTTGGATTTTTCCCTAGCGTGGGCCACTATGTTATTAACTAGAATAATTCCTGACTAATATCTTCTTTTTATATCTCTATCTTTTTAACTAATGGGATACTTTTCATTTTTGACTTAGAGAAGAAGAAAGATAAAAAAAATGTAAGGAAATTGATCTAGTCATGAAATAAAAATAATTTTGTCTCCTGGAATCTGAGAACCACAAAAATTCTGAAATTGCTCTGAAAAGAACTGCATTCAGAGGACAATCTCAAAGAATATTATATCTTAATCTTTATAGACCAACCTTCCTCAACTGTGTGCTCTATATATGCACTGTACATTCAGCATCCAGAATTGGCAGCCTAAATTCCGAAAGTCTACCCTGTTTCCCCCAAAATAAAACACCCCCTAATAAGCCTATCAGGCTTTTGAATGCATGGCAATAAGCCCAAGCGCTTATTTCAGGGTTAAAAAAAAAATATAAGACAGGGTCTTATTTTGGGGAAAACATGGTATAAAGACACACATGTGTAGATTCCAGCTGGCTATTACTATAATAATATTTATTAACTGGCAATTGACCATGGAGAAGCAGTTTGGTGTAATGGTTAAAGGCACCAAGCTAGGAAATGACCATGGATTCTAGTCTTGTCTTAAGCACAAAACCAGCTGAATGGGCCAATCATGCTCTCTTAGTCCTAGGAAGAAAGCAATAACAAATCACTCCTGAAATCTTGTCAAGAAAGCTGCAAGGACCTATCTTCAAGATTGACTTGGAATCACAACGAAGACCGATGGCCATAGTACATAGCAGAATAACAGTGTTGGAAGAGATCTTGCAGATCTTCTAGATGGCAAGCCATTCCACTGATTAATTATTGTTCCGTCACTTCTTTCCATATTGTTTACAAAATGTGGTTGTATCCATGTACTTATCAGGAGTCAAGGATGACTTAAGGGTTGTTATATTTTAAAACTGTTCTGAATTTAATTGCAAGAGTGATAGAAAAGGTTCTGCTTCAACTGATGCCATAGACCCTAACTTGTTATCACTATTTATCCCAAGACAGTTTGTGGATCAAATTTTCCACTAAACATCAGTTGGAAACTGTGTGTGCTACAGAAGTAATTCCAGCAGTAACACTGTGATAGCAACAGCAGAGCTATAAGAGAGATAATGGCAGAACAATCAGTCCCTATAAAAATAATGAACATGGAATGGCTAAAGACAGATTCCAGAGAAATCAATGTATTATCTTATGGAAGTGGATGAAAGATCTCAGCACAAGAAGTAATTGTCATGGTGGAATGGAAAAAAAAAAAAAACCAAGTCAAAAAGAATTTGACCTTTTTTTTTGTTATTATCGCTTCCTTCTTATATTGCATGTTCATTTCTTTTGCCAGATAGCCCTTCAAAGGTCATACGACATATTGTCCACTATAAAACCCATTCATTCTGAAGAGTTCTCAAGAACTCTTCAGATAAAGGTTAAGCAGAAAATAGATCTGCACTTTTTGCTAATTCTGATTGAGTCTAGATTGTCCAGCATTTCTGGCTTCCTACTGTTTTTCAGAGAGAGAGAGGGAGTGGGAGAGGGAGAGGGAGAGGGAGAGGGAGGGAGGGAGAGAATGAATTAGAGTGGGAAGGGACATTGGAGGTCTTCTAATCCAACTCCCTGCTCCAGCAGGAAACCCTATGCCATACACATCTCTCTCTCCACTCACTCCACTCCACTTTCACCTTTATGCTGGTGAAATAAGGAAAGCTTAGAGTGCAACCGGAATGGCATAAACATTCTGTGGGAATGGTTATGAGCATAGTTCTAGACCCAGGTGATGTACAAAATAGATCCTGTAAAGCAGGGGTGTCAAACTCACGTCGTCATTCAGGGAAAGGCTGAGATATACAAGATGAACACATCAGTATTATTAATCTGTAACTATGGTAACCCTTCTAGTTTAGGATGAGCCAGTTGATTCCAAACTTGGCTACAAAGGTTCAAGCATTAAATGCATCATCTCCAGAATATTCATTCATACATTATTCATTCATTCCTACCTTCATTTATTCTCAATATTTGTATATCTGGAAAACCCTCCTTCCGGCAACAGAAAAGAATTTACTAAAAAATATAGCATATGCCTCAAAACCTAGCATCAGATAACTTAATGGTCTGGAGACAGCAAAAACAAAATAAATCAGATCAGGCTAACGTATAGTTCAGGAAAGGCACAATAAAACAAATTAACTTGTTCAGTCTATTTAAACAGCCAAAAGAGTGGGAAGAACCTTGGGTAGAAATTCTAGAAATATATTTGATTGCACTTAAATGAGAAGTCTAGTTTTTAATTACCAGCAATCCTTCTTGCAGTGTGCGTAAAGGGGCACAGTATAATTATATATATTTCAGCTCCAGAATGCCATATGACCAGATACAGATCACAGCCTGCTGCTAACAATCTTTAATTAACCATATGTTATCCTCATTTATCAACTAGAAAGTGATTATTAACAGGTTCAGAACTTGATTTATAACTTTGAATTAATCAAACTTAGCTGATTGTCTTTCTGGTTCATCAGAATTGTTTAACTTTCTCCTCTTGGTTTTTTTTTTAATATTCTCTCAACATTTTCTTGAAAACTTCTTAGAGCTGACATCAAGAAGCTTTTCTCTTTCTACTGCAGGTATCCAGATGCAACCTTATCTGAGGATGCACTATGTCCTTTTTTTTAATCTCGATGAAGGTCCTAAATCCCTTGTCAGCATTGCCAAGCATTTGTAAAACACTTTTATAGCCTCCTTGTCTTCCTCACAATCTCCTCCCATGTCTCCAAAACTGTCTGGCAGCTTTCTTGTCTCTGTGACCCACAGAGGAGCTTTCAGGTTTCTGCTATGCTACTATCAGTGCCATTAAATGTTCAAAGTCATCTAATTGAGATTTCAACCAACCATGTAACTGACACTTTTTATAAGCTGCAACAACTCCCTAGCTTTTGTGTAGCACACGATTTCCTAAAACCTCTTGTCTTTGGTCTTGGTCTCAAGGTTCAACGTTCCTTCAGATGGCAGAAGACTGGCTACCAGTTAGCCTAAGATTCTACCACTTTTCAAGTCTTAATTCCAATGTTTCCATTCTTGCTGAAGACATTTAAAAGACTCATGGACCAACCCAACATCCGTGTCATCAATTTCTCAACATGTTGAAAATTGTTGTTGAGTAAAGGAAGAAGAAAAAATGTTCTCTTGTAATATTTTATTCCAACATCCTAGTCTGCTATAGTGAGGACATCATAATCAAGTTCCCAGCATCAATAAAGTTATGCATAAATGGAGATTCTCAGTCATCCAGGTCATGGTTGTCCCAAAGATGCTTTTTCAAGAGCTCTTTTTCTTCAGCTCTGAAGAAACTTCTTGGATGAGAAGCGAAACATCTTCAAAGAAAAACCAGAAAGTCCAGTTGCATCCCAAAAACACCTTTGGGACAACATTCCACATACTTAACACACCCATACATAAGCAAGGTAGAAAATTGGACAATCAACAGCAAGTTGTATTCTTCAGGAGCATTCTTTCTCCATATTGCTAATTATAAAATATATATGGAACAGTACCATCATTTCTATTTAGTTTGTTAAAAGGCAAGAGGCAAATTGTCTATGTTTTCAACCCAACCAAGCTACAGTGTCTTCCATCTGCCTATGTCATTATGCCTGGCTTTATGTGATCAGACTGACTCCAAAAGCTAAACTCCAAGAACTGATCTTCCATGAATATTGGAACATATTGTTAATAAGATTGACAATACTCTAGACATTGTTCAAAAATTTCATACAATAAGATCCAAATCAGAATACAACCACCCTACTTCATCCCATCTGGCAGAATCTGGCAGAATCTGGCAGAATCACTCATGCCTTAACCAAAGTCTGCTAGTCTTTTGAATTAAAAAAAAACCTTGCCATTCTATACCCAAAGGCTAATATGAGATGTCACCACATCCTTCATATCAAGCACACCTTCCTATGTTCCTCATAACAGAAAGAGCAGAAACAGAGGGACTAGCAAGAGGCAAAGCTTGTTCATCTCTTTCTTACCATATGATTCAGACTAAAGCCAAATCAGGAACAGATATTCCTTAGCAGAATATCTGTATTATATTCTGTATAGGCAGTAGATGGTTTCCTGAACTTACCTGACATGCATTGTACAGAAGCTGATGCTCAAATTTCTTGATTCCCAAGATGTTCTGGAACATCTCATACAGCTGCTCCTTGCTGAGAATCAGCTCTGAAGCAGCACTTGCTGTCATTCTGGCTTGAGCTTTGCGTGGATCTTCTTCCCCTCGATATATTGCATCAAATTTTGCCATCCAAGAACTCAGGACAGTCTCCTTACTGAGACCATCAATCTCAGGCAGGCTACGGACCCTCTTTTCGATATGTTTCTTGAAGACTTCTCGGGAGTCATTAGCTGAGAACCCACCACTCTGAACCATTCTGGCAACACGGTCACTTTTCAGAAATACCTGCAAGGTAAACAAAAACATATACTCAATCCTTCCTAGATCTGAAAGAACTGGAAACATGTCTCATTTTAAAACTCCATATGATTCCTTTGTGGGGCTGCCACAAAGAAGAGGGAGTCAAGCTGTTCTCCAAAGCACCTGAGGGCAGGATAAGAAGCAACGGGTGGAAACTACAGTAATCAAGGAGAGACACAACCTAGACCTAAGAAGAAATTTCCTGACAATTAGAACAATTAATCAGTGGAACCTCCAGAAGTTGTGAATGCTCCAACACTGGAAGCTTTTAAGAAGTGATTGGATCACCATTTGTCTGAAATGGTATAGGGCAGGGATCTCCAACCTTGGCAACTTTAAGACTTGTGGACTTCAACTCCCAGAGTTCCTCAGCCAGCTGGTTTCCTGCCTAAGCAGGGGGTTGGACTAGAAGACCTCCAAGGTCCCTTCCAAGTATGTTATTCTCTATTCTATTCTATTCTATTCTATTCTATTCTATTCTATTCTATTCTATTCTATTCTATTCTATTCTATTCCCATCAACTATGTATGTGACATTCCAATGTGGGCATTTGTTTGTGACATTGTCTGTGGAATAATGGAGCATCCACTGTATATTGTGAATTTTTTGGGTGTGGGGTATGGAGGGAGGGAAGTAATCTTTTATACGATAATCTTATTAGAACTTTCCAGAGCTAAGTCTCTGTACTGTCAGTTAACTATGATTCTTTGTCACACCACAATTCAATAGCAGTGAATATCCTCTATATGTAGATTCAAATAGAATGGGAGAACAAGTTCTGAGAACCCTGTCAAACTCTGAACATTTGAAGAAAAGAAACATGTTTCTAAAGGTTTCAGAGGCTTTATTATTTTGTTTTTTAGACCATTCTCCATATTTTATACAGAAATTCAATCTATTTTGCAATAGAAATGAGCTCTGGTCGCAAATACCCATTTCTATGCATTGGATGCAAATTGATAATATTTTGAATTCGTTTTCGAAGAATGTCATATTCCACGGTAATGAAATCATGTGCTGTTTCTCCCAGTCTCAGATTTATGGGACAAATGGGCATCCCTAGCTGACCTTGGCTGATTTTTGAAAAAGCTAATTTAAGTCAGGTTCAGACAAAATTAGTGTTCAAAATTAAGGGTATCAGGAAATCCCAAAACTGCAAACTAGACTGTGCAGTCAGAACATATCCTAGAGGGAGACAATGGCTAACCACCTACTTACGTTACTAGGAAAACTACTGTACATTTTTTTCCCCTGTAGTCAGGCAAATAACATGCTATCCATTCTATTACACCCATCTATGAGATTGAAAATGGGCATCATTTATTTTCTGTTATTTTATTTTTATTTTTTTTATTTATTTGATTTGTATACCGCCCTACTCCCGAAGGACTCAGGGCGGTGAACAGCCAACAATAAAATACATAAATACACAAAATTTAAAAACCCGATAAAATCAAATTAAATTATTTGGCCCAGACAAATTAAAATGCCCCAATAATTTAAAAACAGATTAAAATTTACGTATTTAAAAAGGGAAGAGATCAGGCCAAGCCCGCTTGATGGAATAAAAAGGTTTTCACAGCACGGCGGAAGGAGCGCAGATCCGGGATCCTCCGTATCTCCGGGGGGAGCTCATTCCAGATGGTAGGTGCCCCCACAGAGAAGGCTCTCCCCCTAGGGGCCGCCAGTCGACACTGTTTGGCTGACGGCACCCAGAGGAGTCCCTCTCTATGAGAGCGTACTGGCCGGTGGGAGGCTATTGGTGGTAGTAGGAGGTCCCGTAAATAACCAGGCCCTAAGCCATGGAGCGCTTTAAAGGTGGTAACCAAAACCTTGAAGCGCACCCGGAAGACCACCGGGAGCCAGTGCAGCTCGCGCAGGAGAGGTGTTACATGGGAGCGCCATGTCGCTCCCATTACCACCCGCGCAGCCGCACTCTGCGCCAGTTGGAGCCTCCGGGTGCTCCTCAAGGGGAGCCCCATGTAGAGAGCATTACAATAGTCCAGGCGGGAGGTGACGAGGGCATGAGTGACCGTGCGTAACGAGTCCCGATCCAGAAAGGGACGCAACTGGCGAATCAGGCGGACCTGATAAAAAATCCTCCCGGTCATGGCCGTCAAGTGCTCTTCTAAAGACAGCCGTGAATCCAGGAGGACGCCCAAGTTGCGAGCCCTCTCCGTGGGGGCCAGTGATTCGCCCCCAATAGTCAGTGATGGCGTCAACTGGCTATATCGGGATGTCAGAAACCACAGCCACTCGGTCTTGGATGGGTTGAGCCTGAGCCTGTTCCTCCCCATCCAGATCCGTACGGCCTCCAGGCACCGGGACATCACTTCAAGGGCATCGTTGGGGTGATCCGGGGTGGAGATGTACAGCTGGGTGTCGTCAGCGTACTGATGGTACTCCACCCCGAAACCACAGATGATCTCGCCCAGCGGCTTCACATAAATGTTAAACAGGAGAGGTGAGAGGACCGACCCTTGCGGCACCCCACATATGAGGGGCCTCGGGGTCGACCTCTGTCCCCCTGTCAACAGAGACTGCGACCGGTCAGAGAGAAAGGAGGAGAACCACCGCAACACAGTGCCTCCCACCCCTAACTCTTCCAACCGGTGCAGCATGATACCATGGTCGATGGTATCAAAAGCCGCTGAGAGATCTAACAGGACCAGGACAGAGGAGCACCCCCTGTCCCGAGCCCTCCAGAGATCATCAACCAACGAGTTATGAGCTGTGTTTAACTAGCTAACCACAGTTATGAGCTGTGTTTAACTAGCTTTCATTCATGGGTCTATGATTTCCAGAAAGAGTTTCTTCTTTAATCCTTCTTTATTATGTTCCAGGGTCAGTACAATAAAAGTTTAAAAAAAATATGAGTATAATCCAGAAATACAATAGCGGTACAGGTGTAACCATTATATAATTGTATTATAACTAAGCAGGTTATCTATTTTAGGCAGCTAACTCAGTGGCATCTGCAGCAAACCACCAGGATGCTAAAAGGACAACATACACGTGGCAATGCCATAAAATAAACGCTGGCGTCTGATAGAAGTAGTGGCCTTTGTATGATGACACTTTTCCTTGTTTGCACCCTCATTCCCCCTGCAGATACCAATGAATTAATTACTCTTTTGCTTCCTCCATGTTTATATTTTATTTCTTATCTTAGACTTACATTGGCTTTTTACTCTTTTCACAGCCCATGCCAATAAGGCTACTTCTGTTCATGGATAGAGGAATTAGGATTGTACACTGCTTGAGAAAATATCCTAACTCTTCATTATATAGTGAAATAGCCCTGTAGCCATGGAAAAGAAGCCAGCTGGACTGGAGTAGCGATCCCAAGCAACAGGATTGAAATCTTTCCTTCAGCATTTCCTGCCATTTGCTCATTGAAAAGTAGGGTTGATACATAAAGTTTCTGTCAGATTATTCATGAACTGGCAAGAGACATGATAACAAGGTCAGCCAATGAATAGGCATAGCAACTAAATCAGCCAATGGGAGCTGAGACAGATGGAGCCAGGGTGTGTCTTAGTCTGCAGTTTCTGAGTCTGTGCAGAGAAACTGAAACTAGTTTGCTCTGCTGAAATGAAACTAACTGTTCTCTCCTGCCTTGTGTTTTGCTTGTAACTGCTACATTATATATAAAAGTTAATGAATTAATGAATTCATTAATGAGTTAATGAATCCTGATGCACCAGTCTGCCTGTGTGTGCTTTCTGGATTTAATTTTCTGCGACAAACTCTGAAAGTTTCTTCCATGAAATTAAAATTATCAAGTGTATGACCGTGTGTGTGTGTGTGTGTGTGTGTGTGTGTGTGTGTGTGTATGTGTGAGATGGCTCAGCAGTTAAAGATGTTGAGCTTGTCAGAGCCTAGTGGTGCAATGGTTAGAATGCAGTACTGCAGGCTACTTCTGCTGCCGGCAGTTCATCTGTTCGATTCTCTCCGGGTCAAGTTTGACTCATCCTTCCACGGTCAGTAAAATGAGGACCCAGATTGTTGGGGGCAATATCCTGACTCCACAAACTGCTTAGAGAGGACTGTAAACCCACAGTTTTGGGTTAAATTTTAATTGATTTTAAATTGGGTTTGTTTTAAATTGCGGCCAAAAATATTTAATTATTTTAAACTGTTTTTAAATTTTGTATGTTTTGTTTTTATTTTGGCTGTTCACCGCCCTGAGTCCTATTGGAGAAGGGTGGTATACAAATTGAAACAAACAAACAAACAAACAAATAAATAAATAAAAGTCTAAGTGCTAATGCTATTGTCATCTGGAAAGCTGACAGCCTGGGTTCGAGCCCCTAGCACAACATAACAGGGTGAGATCCCATTAGTTGCCTCAGCTCCTGCCCACCTAGCAGTTCAAAAGGACACAAATGCAAGTATATAAACAGGTACCACTTCAGTGGGAAGGTAACAATGTTCCATATACCTTGGCATATAGTCATGCTGGCCACATGACCATGGAAACATCTTCAGACAACGCTGGCTCCCTCAGCTAAGAAACAGATAATGAGCCCCTCCCCCTAGAGTCAGACATGATTGGACAGGGGAAACCCTTACCTTTACCTCAATGACCAAAGTATTGAGCCATTTAATATATTTTCCCAAAGTTTATGAACAATCCAAGACAGTGAGATCCTCAATGTCACCCCGTTAAAATAATTTCTTCCCATCCCCCAATCCCTGTTATTTCCCAAATTCAATTTTTTACAGAGGATCCCCTTATCCCAAAAGTTTGGATAACTACACTAGGTTCATTTCAGTAAATACTGAAATACCTCGCGGCTAGGCAGAAAAAAAAATACAGCATGTTGTAAGCAAGATACATTACCTAAACAATTAACCTCATGGCATTGTGAAACAAGTTGGGACTACCCATATACAGCAGAATAAATTTTCCAATACACTTTGACCAGTGAGGGGCATTGTGGCAACGTTTAATTAAAAAAAATATTGCAGTGAATGACAG